AAGCCTGTAGAACCAAGCACATTGCCAATGAACAACGGATGCTTGGTAAGCGATAATCGGCAACAGCGAGTTTACCGTCCTGCCCAAGCCAGTCCTAACACCATTTCACAACCAAGACACAGACGAATCTTGCTGCAGCAAGTCTAGCCCAATTTTATCCAACAGGTCTTTGGTTAGATGTCTAGTTTCATTTAACATTTTGAAAACTCGTTTGACAGCCAGTCAAGTCCCTCATCCAGACCGTGTGGGAAGAAGGTTGCCCAGGTGCCGTGACAGGAGACTGAAGGCACAATCTGTCCCAGCATAATAAATAACTGACTACTTATAGAACTGACACCAAATAGATATTAGATTCAATCACATAATCAATTATATTATCAATCTTATTACATCACTGTTGTCTATAATCTTTAGTATTGGAGTGTAGGAACATCTTATAGTACAGACATAATCCGGTGAAATATAATTCAGAACTGAAGGGACACTGTGAGAAGTGATTGGGACGTGAGAGTCAACACCTTGCGGTACCGCCCCCGTCTGGGGAGGCGCCCATTACTTAGCCGGCCATGAGGGGGTTTCCCTCTCACTGCGGAGTTCAGAGAACACTCTGCTCTGCCGGCTCTTGAGGAAGGTCTGACACGTCTGACACTAGCCAGGCCGCCCGCAGACATCCAGGGGCTTAAACCCTCTCCGCGGTGCTGTGCTCCGACGGTCACCATCCTTGTCCACCTTCATGTTCCACTTTCCCACCCGATGCTCCCTTGTAAATTCTTAGAAGCTGTGAGAAGTAAGAATAGAGGAATCCTAAAAGCCTTTGATCTCTCTGATAAGTGCATAGAAAGATACTGACACAGGTGCCTCCCCTCCTCGCAACGGCTACCTGAGAGGGAGGGGCCCTCTGTGCTGTACCCACGTGACCCTGTACCATATCCACGTGGCCCCCTGAACTGTGCCCACGTGGCCCCCCATATTGTAAGAACATGATTTGCTTGACCCCTACCAATCATGTCAGATGAGCCACTCTCCTGACCCTGCCCCCTGCCTTGAATACAATAAATATCAGTGCATCCAGGAACTGGGGCCACTGCTGGGTGCCGCCCCTGGCAGCAGTGGTCCTCCGAGCCTGGCTAAATTCTTCTCTTGTCTCTGTGTCCTCGTCTCTTGCTTTTCTACCATCTATGGTCTCTGCATACAAAAGAACACCCACTAGACCCTGCGGGGCTGGACCCTGCAGACCAGCTCCATGTCGCACGAGTGGCTTGAACGCACCATGTCCCGTTAGGAAGAGACTGAAGACCTGGCTGACCTGTCGTCCCGCTGCCGGCCGGTGCGTGGGTGAACCCTGTTTGTCTGCGGAGAGCAGCAGCGCTTCGGGGCCACACTCATCTTCCAGAAGCCTTCTCTGCGGCTCCTCTGCCACTTCCTGAATTTTCCCACGGTCACTGCCATCTACCAGGAGAAGAAGACCCTGGGTATGCTGGAAGTAATGCTTCCAGACCACCAACATCCCACACTGTGAAACAAGTGTCCTTATTTTCTACACTTTCCATGTTAAAGCCAACGGCAGGAACGGTGACGAGTGTCTCCCCTCACTTCGGCTTATACAGAAGGGGCTTGGAGGCAGCATCCAATCAAACCATCCAAATATGCATCTGCTTCCTGCTGAAGAGGCAGGGGAAGGAGGAGGAGGTGGTGAGGACCGTGGGCAGAAGCAGAGGGGCTTGGGGCGTCCCTGTACTTTCTTCTTTCATGCTTCCGGGCAAATTGAACAAGGGAGAAGAGAACAAGCTGAGGAAGAAAGAGGGAGGCAGGGACGTCTCCCTGGCCCACGTGCTGGTGAAGCTGTAGACAGGAATTGGCAGGACGAGCACCTGCTGCAGCAGCTCCAGCTCTCGTGCTTTAAATTCCTGGCTCTGGGTCTGAAGAAGGAGCGTGAAAGCCTCTGTGACTGCCTTACTCTAAGTCCTTATTGCCTGTAGCCATGGGGCTGAGATTTCTGCCAAGCAAACCTGAAGCCTAGTCTCCTCCATGATTGAATGGCACCATGAACTGCAGTTTCAACCTTGCACTGCTGCTTTTTTTTTTTTCTGAGACAGAGTTTCGCTCTTGTTACCCAGGCTGGAGTGCAATGGCGAAATCTCGGCTCACCGCAACCTCCGCCTCCTGGGTTCAGGCAATTCTCCTGCCTCAGCCTCCCGAGTAGCTGGGATTCCAGGCACGCGCCACCATGCCCAGCTAATTTTTTGTATTTTTAGTAGAGACGGGGTTTCACCATGTTGACCAGGATGGTCTCGATCTCTTGACCTCGTGATCCACCCGCCTCGGCCTCCCAAAGTGCTGGGATTACAGGCGTGAGCCACCGCGCCCGGCCAGTGCTGCTTTTCTTAAAGTTAAGGGAAGTTGGGAACAAGCAGGAGCCTGAAATTGGAATGGGGACATATGGGAGGATCCCAGTGAAGTTGAGGACCACAGGCCTGCAAGGCCATTGGGATCTGCCCATAAACTCCGCACATTTCCTGCAAAGGCACATGTGGCTCTTCCACCACTGCCTGGGGAGCTGAACCCCTTTGCCTGAAGACCCTCAAGTGCCTTCCCTAAGGAGCTGTCCTGTAAGGCACCGCCGCCCTGCCCAGGACCAGCACCACCTCTGTTCTGCTTCCAGGTCTAGAGCCAGACTGGAGGTTCCAGCAGGCCCCAAGAGAGAAGCTGCGGAGTGTGGCCCACAAATCCGTTTCCTACCCAAACCTGGCAGAATGTGTGGAAATGGATGTTGAGTGTGGGATAAGACCGGATGAGTGAGGCAGAGACCCAGACGTGAGATTCCGGATTTGACGTGTTGGACTGAACAGCTCGGAGTGACCACCCCCCACCGCTCCATTTTCTTGATCAGCCACTGAAACTGTTGCCCCACAGGTGGCCTGCCCTAAATTAAGTGAAATCCAGAACTTTCCTGGCATACTGGAGAGGACAGCAGAACGCTAGGGTGGTTTTATAACGTAAGACCAGCTTGATGTCCTTGTGGCCTGGAGGTCACCCCCTCACCAGGACTGTGAATTGAGAAGTGGATTCATCAGGGGCCTGGCAGGCACCCGGGAAGAGCTCCGTGATCGTTCTTTCCCCTGGGCCAAGAACAGCTGCCACGCAGCTGGGCTCCCTCAATGCAGCGGGGAAGGTGGCGCTCGGGGCAGGTGGGAGCCACGCGGCTGTACGAGGTTCCCAGCACAGCTGTGAGGGGCTGCGGCTGCGGCGAAGCGGTGACCCCAGTCATCTGCTCCACGTAGTTCCCGAGTTGCCCGAGGGGCACGGCTCCCCTAGAACTGAAAAAAATGGACATCCTGCCAAAGGCGTCCCCGTCCTGTGCTAGCAGAAAGGCTGTAGGTCCAAGAGCAGGAGTCCTGTGTTCTGACTGAAAGCCCCAACACAGAGTCCCGTGCCCTCGGCCAAGTTCTAGACTCTGGACAGACCCAGGCCCCTGGAATGAAAGAGAGACTCGGTCTCCCAGAGGGAGGACCCCGCTAAATGCCAAAAATACGCAGCTTCCCAAAGCTTCCCTACCGCCCCTTCCCAAAGGGATGTCCCTCTGTTTACCAGGAGTCTGTGCCGTGGGGATGGGAACTTGTCAGACCTTTTAGGAATTTCTAGACCCTGGATCTGAAAAGACATTCATTTCAGGAGGCCCAGATGCCAGGCGGAGCTGTGGCTTACGGAGGCGGATGATGGAGTTGGTTCAGGTTTTCCTCTGAGTAGGGCCAGCAGGCCTCCCCAGCCTCCTGTGGAACAGACTCAGCCAACGGCAAGGTCCCCAAGTGGGTCCCCTGAGCCCTGGAGTGAGGTCAGCTGGAAGCAGCAGAGCAGCCCGAGGAGGAGCAAACCTCAGGCAACAGCGTGCTCCGGGAGGGACCCCGATCCTCTCAAAATTTAGATGCAGAGAGAGAGAAAAAAAGGTTAAGGAAAATGCCAAAATAGCGACAGCAGTGACTGCTGGGTGCGATATTGCGGCGGGTTTGTGTCTCTTCTCTTTTGCTGGGTGTCCCACAGGAAGACAGACCCCGCGTGTGGGCACCTGCACCCCGCCAGTCTTGAGCTGGCTCAGCCTGTTTGCTGGCCATGCCCGGTTACTGAGGGCTGAGGTCACCATCTGTCTGGGCACACCTCATGTGACCTTTCCTTTTCTCTCCTGGTCAGGGCCCCCGAGCTCAGCCACAGCCGTGGTCCCCCGCCACGCCCTCCCTGGACTCACTGATGACTGATGTGGGGAGGGGAGGGAGGATGCTTGCTGCTTTGGGCATAACCCCTTGTTGGAGGCCCCTGTGCCAAGTTCTCGAGTGAGATGGCTCTTCCTATTTTCCTCTACAGCTGACTGGAACAGCTGTACTGGAACCGGGAGCGTCCCGTTGGCATCTGCTCACGGCTGGGCTGTGGACCCACATGCTTGTTCGGAAGCCAAGCTCTCGCTCTCTGGGCGACCAGAGAAAGCTTGCAGGCTCCTGTCGCCTGTGCACTGGCACTGCTGGGTCTGGGCTGCCAACCCTGCGTGCCCACTGGCGTCCTCACCGGCGCACTAGCAGCCCATGCCCAGAGTCAGCGGGCGCATATTCTGCTGCAGCTCGGATGGGCTGGGGCTTCGGGGCTCACTCCCCCACCACGAGACCCCTTCGCTGCAGTTGAGGCTCCCACGATGATTTTGGGCTTCTGCTCTGACAGCACCAGGACTGGGTCTGAAGGGGGTGAGTCCCTCCTCCTGACCCTCCTGCCCACTGTCTCCAACTGGCTGGCGCTGGGTCCCAACAGGCGGCGAGACATCTGCCCTGTGACGGAAGGACGTGGGGACCCAGTCTCATCCGGGGCTCAGCCTGAGTTCAGGGAGGGGTCCAAAGGGCACTCCTGCCCACGCCCAGGCAAGCCAGCAGCAAGAAGCTGGGTGGCCAAGGCGTCCACGCACGACCCCAGACTTCTCTCTGTGTTAGAAAAAGGCTGATGAAGACCCGAGACAGGAACTGCCTGTGGCTGTTTATTCTACTGCAAGTAACACACCTGTGAAGCTGCATGTTCTCATGTACAGTGATATAAGCCTCTGCAATATAAAATACAATTTACAGAAATCTCTATCGAGTAAACCTAAAGAAACACTTGATTTTTACATTTGTGTGTTTAAATTAGAAAAATTTGCTTTATATGTTAAACAAAAAAACAAAAAACCCTTCGCATCATATTAGATGTTGGAACGTGACACCTACTTCAGTGTAATTTAACCTACGGACACGTGGCTTTAACACCAAACATCTCAAGCTGATACATTCTCCATGTTTTCTTAACTTAAAAAATCTGCGCTATAAAGTGAAAAATCTGTAGTGACGTACAATGGAATAACAGACTCCAAAGAACAAGTGAGGTTCTTTAATTTCATATCTGTAAAAGTAAGTTTATGAAAATATAAAAAACTATCAAAGTGTATTTGTACAAATAAGTTAGCCAGATGTTTTCTATTTCACACTTCAGAAGTACTCGAAAAATACTTGACAAGCAAGAGACCGTTTCACAGTGAACAGCTTCCTAGCTCAATGGCAGGTCCTGAACTAATGACCACTGTTTCCCATCTCAGACTTTATACAAGTATTGTTCCACTTTCAAGGACAAATTTTTAAATGTATCCTCTGATAAATAACCAGTTTGGAGCTGAGTGTACTTTTCCCGGGATACAGGAAGAACTGCTCATTTGAAACTGGATGAACAAAACTTTCCTGATTATTCAAATCAAGGACTCCTCCCCACCCCCAAAGTACATTTAATTGGTTTGTTACCTTTTTTTTTAGGGTGGTAAAACTTAAACATTTTTCAATAAATTGTTATTTAAAATGCAACAATTTATACCAGGACAGATGTTGCTTTAAATCATGTTTTTGAAAAATGGATAAGGTGATATACAAAAGCTGAGCACACTAAGATGTGTTTTTGTTTCCCAGTTGAAAATTGTAATGCAGATTTTAGGACGAAAGCTGCATTTGTAAGGTTTGTGTTTGTCAACACTCCAGATACAGGCAGCTAACCCTTCTCCTGCCCGCGCGGACGCCTGCAGCTCCCACCCAAACCGGCTGCCCGGACGGACGCTAGACCTGTAAAAACGGCTTTTGGAAACACAGATGAGATGTCAGGAAAGGTATGGCTCTAGGGTCCAGTGAAGTTCCCCCAAAATTTACAGTAGTCGAGTTACTGGAAAAGATCACTTTCTGATCTGAAAAAGCAATATGCTTTTGTAGACAATTTTCCATTTCTTTAATTTTGAATGGAAATATCACAGTTTTTTTTTTTTTTAAAAAAAGCATCAGAATTGTAAAGATGTGAAATCTTGTAAGAAACCATTTACACAAAATTACAGTAATTTTCAAGTCCAGAGTATTCTATCCTGAATCTAAGATCGTGGCTATTTCAAAAGCTATTTGTTCGACGCATTTTATGAGACTGGCTTTTAAAAGGGTCTGGCCGGCCGCGCAGCCTCTAGGTCTGCGAGGCGGTGCCCGCCTCCGAGACCCTGGAGGCCTCGGGCTTCGCGTCCCGCGCGCTCTCCTTGCTCTTGCTCCGGTCCTTGCGGTCGCGGCCGCGCTCCCGGTCCCGGGCCCGGTCTCTGTCTCGGTCCCGCTCTCGCTCTCGGCTCCGGGACCGGTCCCGATCGCGCCTCCGCTCGCGCTCCCGGTTCCTGCTGCGCTCCCGGCTGCGGTCCCACTCCTTTCCCCGGTCGGCCTCGCGCTCTCGGTCGCGGTTGGCGCTCCGCTCCCTGTTTCTGTCCCAGTCCCGGCCGGAGTCTTTGTCCCGGTGTCTGTCCCAGTCCCGGGCCCGGTCCCAGTCCCGCTCTCGGCTCCAGTTTCGGCCGCGCTCGCGCTCTCTCCGCCTGTCCTCGCCGGCCCGGCCCTGGCCGTCGGGGTCCTCCAGCGGCTTCTCTTTGGGCCCTGCGTCAAACCGCTCTCTCTGCCTCCCTTCAAAAGTCTGGTTTCTGTACTCGTGACCTTTGCCCTCTCGGAAGTCGGGCGGTGCCCACTGTCCGTCGGCCTCGGGGCCCTGTCCGGGCGCACTGGAAGAGAGGGCGGGGGGCGCGCCGGCCTCCTCCCACCGGTCCTTACGGTGCTGCGGGGGGTGGCTGGGAAGCTCCAGCAGGGGCCTGGGCCCGGGCTTCATCACCTGCACCTGCGGGGCCTGGCCCGGGAAGTGAAATCGCGAAGGGGTCTGCTCATTCTTCTCAGGAAAGGGTGCAGACCCCCGTGGTCCACCAAACTGCATGGGTGCCGGCGCCCTCTGGTTTGTGAATCTGGGTGGGGAATGGACCCTCTGGTCTTCAAACTGCTGAGGCTGGATGCCCCTGGGGCCTGGCATCAAGTTGGGTGCTTGGCCTCTGGGTCCTTCAAACTGGCTGGGATGAGGGCCCCGGGCAGTTTCAAACTGACTAGGATGGGGCCCTCTTGGGCCCACAAAATGGCCAGGGGGTGGTCCTCTCTGACCTCCAAACTGAGAGGGAGGGGGGCCGCCTCGGGGTCCTTTCAGCTGAGACAGCAGCGGCCTTCTCTGGCCTCCGAACTGGAAAGGCGGGCCACCTCTGCTCCCCAGGAACGGGGCTTGCTCTGTCCCTTCAAACTGGGCGGGGGCGCCAGTCACCTCGTTATATGGGGTGTCCTGGAACTCCCTCTTCTCCCCATGGGGATCCTTGCGTTCTTCAAACTGGGACGGTGCCACTCCCCGTGGTCCACCAAGGTAAGAGGGTGAGGGGCCTCTGCCGTCCCCGTAAGGAGGTGGCCCATGTTGCCCCAAGAATAAGGAAGGGATGGGCCCCTTCTGGGCTCCGAATCTGGCTGGCGGAGGCCCTCGTGCCCCATCGTTAGAAGCAATATTCTCTTCCGGAAACGGAGGGGCTGGCCCCCTCGGTCCTGGGAAATTGGGGCCATGAAGCCCTGACATCCCCAAAGCGTGCGGTCCAGGTTCACGCTGACCCTGAAACTGGGGCTGAGAGCACCCCACTTTCTGTCCTGGCAGGGGGAGCAGGGCGGTACCCTCGCCGGATCTGGCCTGTGGCTCTCTGTCCCCCTCTGCTTCACCTGCAGGGCTGCCGCTCCTTCCACCAGAGTGGAGATTTCTTGGGTCCTCATATTGGCCGGGGCCGAGAGCCTTGTCCTGCACCGTGAATCCCGGGCTGGAGAAAGGGTCCCTCTCACCATCATGCTGCAGGGGGAAGCCAGGCTGCAGGGCGCCGCAGGGTGGTGTGGGCAGCAGGACCCTCCGAGCAGGCCGGGCAGAGCTGTCTCCAGCCATGGCAGGGCGGGCGCCTTCCCCAGGCTCTGCCTTCCAGCCGTCCTGCTCAGGCCCTGCTGGGGGCTTTTCGCCCGAAGCCCAGGGGGAAGAGGCCAGCTCCTTTTCCTCTGGGACTGGCGTGAGCGCCTGGCCCACAAGGGCACCCTTGGAAGCATCTCTGGTGGGCAGGGTGCCCTGGGTGCCCCATGCCGAGAGCCTAGAGAGAGGGTCCCCCTCCCCCTCTCCACTCTCAGCGGCCAGGCGCCTCGCCTGCCGGGGATCTCTCTGGTTCGCCGCCTGGCTGGCAGGGGGCAGCGAGGTGGGCTTCTCTGCGGGCTGCTGCTCTTGCTGGAACAGCTCCGCCTTGGGCAAGGACGACTTTGGTGGTGGTGACATCAAGGCGTCCGACACCGAGAAGTGGGCCATGGAGACCCCGACGGCGGCCCTCTGCTGTCTCAGAGCTTCTTCCTGCTCCTCCAGCTGTCTCTTCTGCTCCTCGATCTGTTTGTTCAGCTCTTCTAGCATCTTCTGCTGCTCCACCAAGGAGGGCGTGGCAGCCCCGGCCACCTGCTCAGCAGGCCTCTCCGTGGAGTTCCTTCTCACGTCCGCACACATCCTGTTGGGCAAGTCATCAACAGTCACTTTCGCTTCTTCCAAGATGGTCTCATCCTCGGGGTCGTAGGCCACCTCTTCCCGCTCGGCTGCGGCGGCTTCGGGAGCCCTTTCCCCCTCGTGGCGCCGCCCTCGCTCCACAGGCTGGGTGTCAAAGGCTCTCTCTGGGTCGTACTCCTCCTCAGGGTCGTAGGGCCTGTCGTCCTCCTCTTCCTCTGGAGCTTTCTCTTTTGAGAACTGACCGAACTGCTGGACGATCGGATCTAAGAGTGGAGGAGCCGGCACCCCATCCTCTGCTGTGGTTTTGGGGTCCTGGTGGAGGCCTGCAGTGGACCCAGCAGGCTCTCTGGCAGAGGGGTCAAATGACTTCTTTTTTCCAAAGAGAGTCTGCAGGATGTGCTCCAGCGGTGACGCTGTTTTTGAAGCAGACGAAGCGGCGGAGGAAGCGGCCGTGGTTGCTGCTGCTGCTGTCGTGACTGCTGTGACCGGGCTGGTGGCTGCGGGCTTGAGGGATGACAGCACTTTTAGCACCGGAGGTTCTGGAAGTGGGGGTGGCGGCGGAGGGGACCCGGGGGGTGTGGTGCTGACAGCCGCGTCTGCAGCGTACAGCTGATACTTGGAGGGCTTTCTGTCCGACTGCGGGGCCGTGGTTACTTTCGGATAGGCTGGAACGTCCACTTCCTCCTGCTGAAGTCGGGTCCGCTTTTCATCCATCTTGTCTAACTCTCCAGTGTTTGCAGGACGTTTTATTTTTTGGCAGATTACTAACCCAAGAATTATATTCGGACGTGGTGACTCAAGACCTGAAAAACAAAATATTTGTGCAAATTTTAGAATCTAAATCCAGCTTTCATCCTTCAGAGGTGAATTTTCTTAAGGGCTTTCATGGGGACTGTTTAATAGGTAGAAATAAGCCATTCTGTAGCAAAATAAAATCAAGTGTCACGACAGCTGCAAAAGCCTGGATCCTTCTGCCCGAGAATGCCCCGACTCAGTCCTCCCAGGAGCCATGTGAAGGGAGCGACTGACCCGTCACCAACCACGGAACCGAAGACCCGATCCACGAGGAAGTTCATCCCAGTTGTCGGAATTGGTTACATATTTTAAAGAAATTCTCTGTAATGCCAGAGCAGTAGTGTGGAGGGGAAGGAGGCCGTGGGATAAGCCTGTGGGGATGGAGAGGGCGCTGTCCCAGGTGCCCTCAACCAACAGCTCAGCTATGCTCCTCTTCCCCTCTGGCTACTACCGGGAAGGTAACAGCCCTTTGCATGTGCATGTTTTGAGATGGGAGTCTCACTCTGTCGTCCGGGCTGGAGTGCAATGGCGCAACCTCGGCTTGCTGCATCCTCACTCTCCCGGGTTCTCCGGGATTCTCCCGCCTCAGCCTCCTGAGTAGCTGGGATTACAGGCACACGCTGCCATGCCTGGCTAATTTTTGTATTTTTAGTAGAGACAGGTTTTCACCATGTTGGCCAGGCTGGTCTCGAACTGCTGACCTCAGGTGATCCACTCACCTCAGCCTCCCAAAGTGCTGGGATTATAGGCGTGAGCCACTGCGCCCAGCCCCCTTTTTTGTCTTTAACTTAGGAGCTGCAACACATAATTACACTAAATATACTAATATTAAATGTCTGATTAGGTACCAATTCAACTCAATTCAGAATTATCAATAAAGTCATAATGATCAATAAAGCACAAGCCATGAGGTCATCCATTAGTCTCTGGTGGCATAATTACAGCTAGACAGAAAAAAAGGATGTTGAATGACATGGCTAAAATAAATGTTTTGGGCCAGGCGCGGTGGCTCACACCTGTAATCCCAGCACTTTGGAAGGCTGAGGCGGCTGGATCACGAGGTCAAGAGTTTTAGACCAGCCTGGCCAACATAGTGAAACCCTGTCTCTACTAAGAATACAAAAATTATCCAGATGTGGTGGTATGTGCCTGTAATCCCAGCTACTCGGGAGGCCAAGGCAGAATTGCTTGAACCCAGGAGGCGGAGGCTGCAGTGAGCCGAGACTACCACTCTGTTCCAGCCTGGGCAAGACTGCCTAGGAGAAAATAGTAACTAAAAATAAATACATGTTTTATGATTATAAAGAAATTCAGTGAGCATGAACATATCAAAGACTGCCTAAGGCTCACGCCTTTGTAAACACAGGACACTGTGATCATGGAAGCACCGAGACACTCGGCAAACAGGTGGCAAAGAGCAGGTCAGGCAGGCGACGCACACCAGGGGTGTTGGGGCACGGTATTCAATAAAAACAATTCTTAAAAGAGGACTATTCCAAACACTCTAAGTTGTGGGAGCGTGGATCAGGAGCACGAACATTCCAGTCACGACCCTCCCCATACTCACAATAAATCAGGAGTGCCAAAGGGGAACAAAGAAAAAACCCAAGTCACAACATAGGAGCTCAGGGAAGGCGATTCGCATGGGGAAGGTCTCAGCAGCATCAACGTGTTTGAAACTAAACCGCAGAAACTCGTTAAACAGACAGTCTAACCTCACTGTGGCATACGGGGAAGGTCTCAGCAGCATCGTGTTTGAAACTAAACCGCAGAAGCTTGGTGTACAATCTAACCTTACTGTGGTATAAAAAAGGTGCTCACACGACAGCCTTTTCTCCCCTTCCAAAGAGAACCAGTGCGATTTCCCGTGCTTCCAGTGATATTAAAGATCAGCACAGGTCACTTCAGGTAGCCAGCCGTCTGGATAGGCACCATTATGTAGCTCTAAATACCTTTGTTGTTGATCTCCCCAAATCCCACCAAGGAGTTGATGGACAGGTTGAGCATGGAGGGTAGGCGGGTGTCTGCCTTGCCCTTAAGGAACACCAGGTCTGCCAGACTGAGTTGGGACCAGCCTGCCCCATGGGGGCTGACGGCATGTTGCTCCCTCCCTCCTGGAGAGAGGGCCAAAGGGTCTGTTCCTTCACAGGCTGTCAGGAAGGGTGAGGTATCCCAGCACCTCAACTCCACCTCTTCTCTGTCCCCCGGATGGTAGCAGGGTGCCAGTGAAAGGGATGGGTGGGCACAGGAGGGAAGCAGGAAGGCCAGGTGGGCCACACCGAGGGGTGCACCTGGGCTCTGCTGCTCAGCAAATGTGAAGGGCAGCTTGTCAAGTTCATTCTGATGAACATGAGTTCAACACAGGTTAGCTTAAAATAGTGCTGCTCTCACCACAACAGCAATTTATTTACTGAATAAGCTATTACATCGCTTACTGAAATCCGCTTTTTGGGTATGGTCGATTGTGAAATTGGCTATTATGGCTTTCCCGGACCACACATGTCTGCAGAGCCCACCACGCCCAAGTGGGAGGGGCCCTGAGGCTCAGGCTGAGCTCCTGTAGGCCGGGCCCTGTAGGCCAGGCCCTTTCCCACAGAACTGGACACTAGAACAGACACAGCCGTGGGCTAGGCCTCAGGAGGGGCCCTGGACAGTGGGGCTTGTGGGGCCTCGGTGTGGGGAAGTTGCCTGGGGGAGCCCAGTGCTGGCTCGTTGACACAGAGGGGCCATGCTACCTAAGGGAGATGCTCAGCTACGCAAGCGCGGTCAGGGTGGTGGTGTGCTGTACAAAGTCACTGTGTTACGTGCCTCTATCTCATGGTGTGCCACTCCAATGCAAACTTTTAATGGCTAATTTGCTTGTTAACGAAAAAAAAATTTAGTATATCCCAGCGCTGGCAAGATTCTTTAGTCTTGGACACAGCAGCCCTCTGGAGACTGGCGGCCAGCGCATGGCTGGCACGTGTAGGTGCTCTCGTCTGCAGACACTGGTGACTGGATAAAGCTGCAGTCAGATGGGCGTGCGTTCTGAATCCCCCGAGACTTACGATTTAAATTGGGCTGTCCCCAAATGCACACCCACTGTGAAACAGTCAAATCTTGTCACCCAACTCATTTTTGTTATTATGGTTGCATGGCTATGTAAAATGTGACCGGCACCTTGGAAATGACTCTTCGTGAAAGGAGCAGTGCTGTTCGCCTGGCCTGGACCTTGGGAGCCATCTTCCCTGGGAGGAGAGGGTGTGCACAAGAGTGCCTGGCCCGTCTAGACCAGGAAGGTCAAAAGGTCACAGAGCCCCCACCTGGGGAGGGGGCATTAGAGGCTGCCCAGAGCTGTGCCCAGGCTCGCCCCTCAGCAGCCACCCCGTGGTGTGTGTGACCCCTGGGAGGGAGTGCGCCCTGGGAAGGTGCAGAGACTGAGGCCTGCGTGAAGCTGGCACCAGCCAGGCAGCGGGCAGCACAGGGCACAGCAGGCTTACTTACCCACCTCCCTCCTGAGGGCTGCTGAGGGTCCTCAGTTCATAAAGCAGGCGGCCATGAGCAACCAGGGGCCAGGACCCGGAGACACCAGCTGTGGCTAAACGTGCCCTGCACTTCCACTGAAGGGTGCTGAGCAGGCTTGGAACAGGGGTGTGGACATCCCCCCAACGCCCTCTCAAAGGCCAGAGGGCAGATGGTTTTCTTCACGGTGTATCATGTGCAGCAAACAGGCCTTTTCAGCGCCATGGCTGTGTCCTTTGCACATTCATGGAGGAGTCTCGACAGACCCTGTGGTCAGAAACCGACCACATGCGCAGGAAAAGAGCTCTAGAAACAGGACGAAGGGGGCATCTGCAGAGCTGAGTGTGCCAAGACAGAGCCAGGAGCTGTGTCCAGGTGTGTTGGCAACAGGGGCTGGGAGACAAGGCAGCTGGTGAAGGGGACCACCTGCTTCTCAGGGTGCAGGAGGCAGCCCCTCACTACTGACCCTGAGGCTGCAGGAAGACGCTCCCTCTTACTAAATGAACCACCCGAAATCTGACTCCTCCCAACCCCAAAGCTATCACAGTGAGGCCTGGAGCACATCCTACCATCAGTTATTTAAAATGAAAACTCTCTTACTGGTCTGCATCTGTCGAAACAAAATGTTCACACCTGCTGGAACAGAAACTGAAGTTAATCAACAAGGGTTGTGAATTATGACTTGGGTAGAAAGACTCGGCAAATCAGGTGGGAAGACACCTACTTCCCCCAACCCACCACACACACCCACTCACACACACACAGAGCCCCCTCTTCCAACTGGGAATCCCTAGGCCTGCACAAAGCCACTGGGTCCAGCACGTTTCAGGGAGGGGGAGAGCGGTGTCCATCTTCTTCCAGGCGCGCGGGTGCCGAGAAGGGCCCCAGGGCAGCACCAGCCTGCACTGCGCTGGCTTACCAAGAGCAAAGCGGGGCCTAGGATAGGTGACCAAGAGCCACCAAATGGCTCCAATTCAAACAAACAAGGACCAGTTTCCACGAAATCTTTTTATTGATTTAGGAGGAGAAGGCAGTACATTTGATTCAATACTGTATTTGACTCTGATTACAATTTCCATGAAACCACTATTACATACACACACGAAAACTGAAGAAATGCTTACCTGACAATATTTCAAGTCAGAATTTCTCAGCTAGTTTAAAAAGCAGTTAAAAGTGAATACAGAAAGGCACTATGGATTCGAACATTCTTCCCAGAAGAGCTTTCTAGTGTATAAAAATCTCAGAGAAAAGAGCCCTTTCCACTAGAGCAGCTACAGAGGGTGGCGTTTCCTCCTGCCCTGGACTCGGGGAGGACGCAGACTGTGCACCTGTGTTTATGGACCGCGGTTACTCAACAGGCGTTTCAGACCAAGGCTCTGAGGCCTGTGGCTTCACGTGGAAATGATAGGGGTTGGGCATGGTTAACAGGCAGGCATCCTTGGCTGCGGTCCAGTCCTGTGAGGGCCTCACACAGAACCCTACGTGATGAGCTTCCTACCCAACTCATCTCCTTTCCGTGAAGAAGGCCCCAAGACAGGCCGAGACTGCGACCCCAGTCCCCACGGGGGTCCCTGCTAGTAGAGTGGGGAGAACATCTCGGTGGAGAAGGCCGCCTGGACCAGCACACCCAGACCTCCCAGCTGCCTCCCCAGGGATGCTGAGTTACAGAGGGTGCCACTGAGGGGCAAAGTAAGACAACCCAGTGTTCTGGGGGCAAATCATGAAGATATGCAAGGACAAATGTCCTCAGATAGATCCAGCTACTGCTGTGAACTGCATGGCTCCTGAGGACGCTGCGGGGGCAGCTCCACTCTCACTGCCTGCCTGACATGGCCAACTGCTGGCCAAGTGGGTGACTTGGTTTCCCCGAGGGCACAGCTGGGCACCTGGAGGTCTTCACTTGCTTCAGTGTGAACAGGAAGCACTGAGGGGCTGGGACTGGACACCGTGCTGTTAAAACCCACCGGACCCCCATGTTTGGGAGGCAGGGACACCTACAATTGCGTGGTATAAACTGAGGCACACAGATAAGTTGGTCACTCTTCTGCATGAATCTTTACACCCAATGGGACTTTCTCCTTAACACCCCCAGGGGATGGACTCCGTCTGCTCCTACGTCAGTGCCCCGATGCGGACGCGCAGCTCAGGGCTGGAGTCCCAGGTCTCCTTCAGGCCTGCACTGCACGCGCCGCACGCGGCACGGAGAATTGAGGCTGACAGCCCTGGCGAGGACAGCCAGGTCTGGAACGGAGCTGGGCCCTCAGGCCCTCGCCCACCACTTCCGGGGCGTGACTCCAGGCCATGCAGCACAGCTCACCCCAACCATGGCTCTGTGGAATCACCACCAGCGCCCTTAGGTGTGGCCTGTGCTGTCCAAAGGCTTCTGGGCAGAGGCTGAGACAGAGGGAACGTGCCAGCACTTAACCTTACACACACCGCGCGCGCGCACACACACACACACGCCACAAAGCCAGGACATACATGTACATATTTATATCTAGAAAACGCCAAGTCAAGTAATCAACATGTGAAGCAGGCCAAGTAGCCAGTGGCCTGGCCCAGGGTCAAGGCTGTTTAGTCGCCATGGAAGTATGTGAGATTTCATGTACACATATTCATGTCAACAGGGGCGTTAGGAGAATATAAAATGATACTGGTCTTAAGTTAAAACATTGCTGCAGTGTATGGAAAAGTTTCATTCCCTGCTACTTTTCTAGAATCCCTCATCCTGTGTTACTTTACCCAGGTGTCTCTGCTCTTTATCGTGGGTCACAGTCCCCAGGGCCTTTGTGTGTCCCTGTGAGGCAATGTCACGGCCTCAGTGAGTGCCTTGGTGGGCAAGTGTCACGTACCCCCCCCCCCCCCCGAGCTGGTCGCTGACAGTGTGGGTGACTGGCGCCACTGCACTCAGCAGACAAGGTGAGTGCCCCAGCCCAGCCCTCCTTGTCCCAGTGCCATCCGGGAGGTGCCAGGAGACCTGTCCTTTCCCTCTGCCCAGCACTGCACCTGCACAGCCAGCCCCTGCTCTGGGGAAAATGGGGCTCCACTCCTCGGGTGGCCTCCCTGGGCCCTGCCAATGCCCACAGTGGGGATCCCCTCGAGGCCCTGCTGCACCCATGCCCGGCATGCGCCGGGGCTCACTCAGCACTCCTACCGCCGTGCTCACCTGACAGCTCCAGGTTTGGGGCTGGAGCAGGGAGAGGAGCTCAGAAAAGGATGAAGTATGACTTCAATTGTTTTAAAAAGGGGAGGCTTGGTATCTATGAACAAGTGCCCTTTGCACCCCAGAGAGAGGTGCTGAGGGGCGGCGGTATCTGCAGCGAAAGGCTCCCGCGCTCACAGACTCCACAGGCACGCCGTCGCACTTGCGACTGACCAGTGGGTCTTCGCAGGTACCGGAGGTCAGCTTCTTGGTCTTCACCTCCAGGAGAGCTGGGTTTTTCCTCTCCCTGCTCATGTGGGAGCTGGCCAGAGCTCTTCACAAGCGTCACCAAGAGCCTCTACCAGGGTCCTTTCTGCCACCCGTTAGATGGCATCTCTCTACCCCAAGGAGGATTTGAGGGCACACACTGAAGCACTTTGCTTTTAAAAATGTATCTGGCACTAAAATGATTTAATGCGCCATGCCAGCAAATATTTAACCTTGAAATGACTGATACCAACCAATACCTTTAAGGACATACCATTCCACAACACAGGCATAAGCCGAGGCCACGCCGTGTGAAGAATGGACTCCAGTGGGAACGTGGGCTGTGCCTCGGGCGACAGAAGTCCCACCCAGGATGTGGAGTGGCCCCTACAGGACCCCAGCTCTCAAGGGCTGAGGGTGGGACACCCTGCACACTGTGGCAGGAACACCGGCGGAAGCCTGGTGACAGGGACAGAGGGCACTGAAGCCCAGGGTCTAGACAGCACCTGCCTTTGTGACAAAGCACTTTAGAGGAAGGACACTGATCCACATACCCATGTTTAGGTAACATCGATCCTCTGGGGACCGCATGGCCACAGAGACACCTGAGTTGGCCTCTGACATGAATCCCCTAACTGAAGTCACATCAGCCTCTTTGAAGGAGCTACGAGAGAGCTGGTCACTACCAGAGCATGTGGCCCCTGGAATCACCCTCAACCCTTGACAAGTAAAATGTATTTAGGCTATTCGCAAATCATTGTTTAAATGTAGTACCTTCCAAGGACTGTGCAGACACAAAGCAGCCTACCAGAGATGAACGAACCTGTTAGAATCTGAGCCGCAGATTAAAAGTAATTCTTTCTAGAAATAGTTTTCTATGTCACTATGTTTAGATCTCCTGGAAATCCATCTCTGTTAGAGAAGTGGCCTGTGACGGAGCCACTTCCTGGTGTGTGCTGGCTCCCGAGTCCATCTAGAGGGAAGAACAGGACCGCTGGGATGTCACCTCCCTTTCCAGCGGACCCTTGGGCACTGAGGCTTCTCTGATCTGAGGCCAGGATGAGCTAGCTGCAAGCTGTGGGTCTTTCCCTCTCTAAAAAACTCTTCTAAGATAATTTATGCTACAAATAGGGGATTCTTTCTGTGCCGCAGTCCTATGCCCTAAAAGATGAATTCTATTGCTAATGGCTGTGTCTGTGCTCTTAACTGCTGCTCCTGGAGAGCCCTGGGCTGGTCAAGACTCAGCAGGGCATGTCAGTGGGAGCAGCGGTGCAGGTGCCAGGTAGGCCTCACCTCCACCCAGAAAGCCGGTGCTTACCTGGTCCCTCAAAGGGCAAGAGTTTGGATGGAACAGGGTCCTGGGCGCTCAGCGGGATCAGATAGAGGTCCTTGACGTGCCTGTTGTTATTAGCTACAACGCCAAAGCGGCCACGGCTGCTAAAATAGGAGTACAGAGAGATATAGGCGACCTCCTCCTCCTCCGTGGCAGGGTGGAAGCGGACCAGACAGAGCTCCTGCAGTGGAACAGAGTGGGAGGCACTCATAAAGTAGACGCAGGCATCACTTGCCCAATTCACCTTTTCAAATCTCTCCTACTCAGCCACGATCTCACAGAGTTCCTGTATCAGTGAGGCAACTCGTGTGACATGTGAGCCCAGCAGTGTCTGGAGCAGAGCCAGCTTTTACTACGTGCATGATGGCCCCAGTCATGAGGAACCAGCTGTGTGATGTGCAATGGCTGTCTGTTGACCTCTCCAGAGGGTTAAACTAGACGACAGGGTCTAGACCTTTCGTGAACATGACGAAAACTAGGGCCTCCCGAAAGAAAAGCACATACAGACATGCACAGCTGTAGCTACATCTCAGGGGGTCCCAGAAAACCAAGACCGTTCAGGAGCCCAGGCTGAGTGCCCTGAGCCTGATCACCCCCGCAAAAGATACCTTCTGCTCCTTCAATCATAAAAAAATAAGAAAATAAAGCTTATATATTTCTTTTCTTAAAAAATAATTCAGGGGAAAGTGCAAACGTAGTCCCTCACTACCACAAATTATGCAGTCAAGTTTCTCGCATCTGGGGAAATCGAAGGGGTCAGCACATCCGACGTGCAATGGATAACCCTCGCCCTGGGAAAACCACCTTCGTGATCCTGGTATCTCCCCTGCCAGGTAAGTATTACATTTCTTACTAAACTTTAACTGCACATACATGATAATAAATCAGAAACAACCTTCTACCATTGTATTACTCAAACACCTTCACACAGTAACACAACTATATAAACTTAATTTTTTTTTTTTTTTTTTTTTTTTTGAGACAGTCTTGCTCTGTCTCCCAGGCTGGAGTGCAGTGGTGTGATCTCAGCTCACTGCAAAACTTAATTTTTAACATTCACCTGGAAATATCTAATAAGTTACAGGCTAACATTTTAAGTGTTAACCCATCAAAATGAGAGGTTAAAAAAAGACGTGTTTAAACACTGTCTTCCATGGTTATAGAATGCATACTGCAAGCGGATACCTTAGACACAGAAGACTTGAGTTTGCCAACATAATCCCAAACTGTCTTCGGTGCGATCCTCCCACCAATGTGAATTGTGTCAGGCAAATCCTAAACAAAAAGGACTTTGAGTAAATAACTGGTCAAACTGTAGCAGTCACAAAAAGATCGACGTAGTCACTTTAAGGCACTGTACCATCCAAGGTTCAAGAAGACCACAACGATTCCAAGGATGACAGTCATACTTGCAATAAATGCTGTATTAAATCCAAGGTCACAAGTTACCAAATCCAAGGGGAGTACGATGCCAACCTTCTGCCAAACAAGGTTGTGTTTAGAAAGGGCTGGGCAACACTTCTATGTTATCTTTTCTGTACATACACCAAGAGTAGCGATTTGCACATGAGCCCGGGTGACTCCCTGCATGAAGGTCATAAATGCTAGTGCTGCTTTTTGGTTCATTTTGAAAACTAAAAGGCCTGCCATAGGGTCATATGTGCCACCCCACATGTGGCCAGGTGTGTGTAAAGCAGGCTCTGAACACCTGGCTACGCTGGGGCTGTGTCAGCACCCCAGCGAAACCCATCACTGAGATGCTAGACTGCAGGCTCACGTTTCTGACCCTGTCCCAACTGCTGACTCATCACAGCAATTGCCACTTTGCATTTGGAGGTGCTTCTATATCCAGACAGTCAGTTGCAAGGGTGTCACACATTTTTTTTTCTTTCCTACCCGGTGAATTAAGGGAGAAAATCATGTGTTTGACTCTAGTATAGAAATTCCAATGAAAGACATACATGCACACGCACACACACACACACACACACACACACACGTTTTGTTTCTAACCTCACTGAGGTAGTCAAAACACCCGGAGACGGGATACGCCTTAGTGACAAATTTTGCCACACTCTGCATGTTGATAAATCCTTTCCAGATGGTGCTGAGTCGAGACAAAAAGAGGGTTGTGTCTCCCTCTGGAGGGGACCGCGATTCTGATGTGCTATAAAACAAAACCATAAAAATAAAAGTCAGCGTCTCTCCGTGCAATGAGAATTTCAAAAGCATAAAGGCTTTTCTTTGAGACGGAACTTCATTCTGTCGCACAGGCTGGAGTGCAGCGGTGCGGCACTGCCGGGTGAAGGCTCCACTTCCTGGGCTCCGGCGATCCTCCCACCTCAGCCTTTCAAGTAGCTGGGACTACAGGTGACTGCCACACCTGGCTAAATTTTTGTATTTTTCGCCATGTTGCTCAGGCTGGTTTCAAACTCCTGGGCTCAGGCAAATCTCCCACCTCTGCCCCTCAAAGTACTGGGATTCCAGGTGTGAGCCACCGTGCCTAGCCTCAAGAGTACAAAGACTTTATATTTAAAATCAATAGTGAACTCTTTCAAGTTTTACATTTTGGCAGTTTACTTTTGCTGATTAATTAATTATAATAATATAGACATCTTGATTAAAGAAAAATGAATAGGCGAGAAACTGGATGAGTATAAATTTAAATCTAAATTTCTAAGACCTTTACTTCCAAAATGACAAGAGGGCACCCTAAAACTGGGGCTTTCTAAAAGATGAAAGAGTAAAGTTGTATTTCGGGTGAAATTTCAGGGTTCAACTATTAAACCACCAGACTTTCCTTCTGTTCATCTAAAAACAAGTTTGGCTTGTTCAGACCACACCTGAGGACGTACCTGGTATTTGGTGATGGAGGAACTGACAAATATCTTGGGTCAGGGGATGAAGACGGCTTAGCCAATATGGACTTGGGCACCATCACAGAAGTCAAGGCAGGCTTCGGCACATCTTGTCTGGTTTCCACCATGTGGGTACTGTCTGGACGGGCCACTACGGAGGCCATGGCTGTGCAGGAACTGCTTGGAGCGGTCCTGGGATCCCGGCCGGACACTGTGACAGTGGTGACTACCCCGCTCCCACAGGAGGCTGGGCAGGGGGACAGGTCTTCCAGCGGGGAGGGCTCAGGATGGCCATCTCCTGGAGGCCCAGCGAAATAGGTTCTATCCACGTTTGGATGAGAAGCACTTTCCAGGCCCGGCTCAGGGGCAACTTCAGGCAGCGCCTCCGGTATCACCTCATCAGCTGAATCAGGAGCAGGGTCAGGTGCAGGGCTCTCATGCTTGGGTTTTAAGTCTTCTTTCTTAACAGGAACTGACAATTTTGGTTTTTTCGGAGCTGGCTCATCTTCTGCGGAGGGAACTTGGCCTGAAGAAGGTGAGGAAAGTCTCCGTGAGAAACCCAGCCGGCCCACGAGTGCTTCTCACCAAAAGCCAAAAGCAACACTGAAGGCAAGGCAGGGAATCGTTCCGGCCTTTCTGTGTGTCTAAGCTTGGCTTAGGTGCAGTTGCTTTGAGAGGGATGCAGTGATTTTTAACAAAATCAAGTGAAGTCTCAGCTCCAAGGCGCCATCCCCAAAACTGTGCTCACCTGTACAGATTTTGCAGTTGAGATCGAAGAGGTGTGCGCGATGCTGACTGGTGGTGTCTTTCAACATGCTGCTGAAGACGTCGAGGAGGGGCGCTGCGCTCTTCTCAGGGACAGCACGTGCTGACTCTTGCTGTTCCTAAAAGGAAAAGGAAAAAAATGAGGTCATCTATTTTCCAAACTCAGCTCCAAATTAACAACACACAAGAAGGCTGGGCGCGGTGGCTCACGTCTGTAATCCCAGCACTTTGGGAGGCTAAGATGGGTGGATCACGAGGTCAAGAGATCAAGACCATCCTGGCCAACATGGTGACACCTGGTCTCCACTAAAAAATACAAAATTTAGCTGGATGTGGTGGCACGCGCCTGTAGTCCCAGCTACTCGGGAGGCTGAGGCAGGAGAATTGCTTGAACCCGGGAGGCGGAGGTTGCAATGAGCCGAGATCATGCCACTGCGCTCCAGCCTGGCACCTGGTGACAAGGTGAGACTTGGTCTCAAAAAAAGAAAAACCCACAAGAAAAGCAGTCTCACGGGACTGAGACGCATGGGGGAAGAATACAAGGCCTGAGGAATACCACAATGGCACACACCTGCTGTCAGCTCAGTGTCCTGCCCAAGCATTCAGATACCTGAACACATTTGTGATGAATGGGTCTGTTCTTGGTGAACACAGAAACTCCCAAGTGCTCACCTCGGAATCCGACACTGGCGGAGAGTCCTCCATGTCGGGGATGACCTCCTGCCTGGCGGCCACCTTCTTACTTTCACTGTGCACTTTAGTCCTGGGCTCCATCACCTGAAATGAGAAAGACAAAACCGAGCTCAAGCCTTGTTTTCTAAGGAGGAAAGCATCGCTCATGCAAACTGTCTGTGAACTGATTTCTGTGAAACGCGCGTCCTGGGCGCCTCCGCAGCCTGCTCAGCACTCACAGGTCTCGTCGGCTTCTCTTTCCACGTGGAAAGCTCTTTAGATACAAGTTCTTCAGGCTTCATTCTCACAAGTTTTGCCAAAGAGATTTCCTCCCGCAGAACACGATGGAAAAGTCCCTGTAAACAAGTATTTTTCATTTACTCAAATAATATTCGTGTTATCTGTCAATACGGAGAGCTTATGGAATACAGAGCTGCCCAGAAGTTTCAGTGGGCAGAGGACAAAGGCCCCCAGGACCCACTTGCTGTGGCACTGGGCAGAGCTCTGAAGGGTGTGACCTCTCTTAACTCCCCAAATGACCTTGTGAGAGTGCACCCCGGGCCATCCCTGCTGTGAGCAAATGCAGGCCCAGAGAGCACAGGTGCTAAAAGGCTAAACAGCAGTTTTCACGGCCTGGGCTGCATTGGTTCTGCTAAAAAAGCAAAACACACAACACCTCAGAAAAACAATCGTGTATACAACGTGGACACAGGTCAAAAAGACAGTGTCAAGAATGAAGGAAGGAAGGAACCAGTTCTGCTTGGGGGCTGTTCCATGGTGAGATGCAAAGTCGGAGGATTTCAATATCCTAAAATTCTAAACAGGGAAGAGTCTGGAGGCCATGGAGAACACCAGAAAGCTGTAAGGCCCATGGCAAGAGGAGCCCATCAGGCAGGTGGCCTGTCCCTCCCAACTGGAGTTTCTGTCCTCGTTGTGTAGGATGAGCACCATCCGCCCCACAATGCAGTGAGGACGGAGTGACCCCACCCTGAGTGTGAGCAGCCCCTGCTCCAAGTGTTGAAAATGCTCAAAAGCAGCCCAAACCCTCAGGCTCACTCTGCTGATGAGGAACATGAGGAAATAGAGTGGAAAAGGCCGTCTGAATCCAGAATATGGACACCCTCATATACTGGGATAAAGAATTTGGACTTGAGTTTGGAACCAGTGAAGTGACTGGCTTGTAATTTTACAGCGATGTTTAGAGAAGACCAATTTAGTGATCAAAGATGGACTTGAGGGAAGCCAGTGAGCAGACAGGACCCCCGCTAGGCAGGGAAGGGAAGGGGCTTCCAAGACCCTCAACGCCAATACAACCCAACCCAGGCTGGCAGAAGGGTCATGGAGGAGAGAGAGACTTCTCAGCTTTCCTGGGAAGGACACAAACGTTTCAATAGTTTGGTTTGTCCCTTTCGTGTCCAGCAAAGAGCACAGGAAACGCAATGTCCCGTCGTCAGGCACACACCTGGTTTTTAGGGTCCTTCAGGTTGAACATGATGCTTCGGTATTTACTCTTGTAGCGACTGTCCGTGACGTGAAACAGGTTGAACATCTCCTTCTCGATATGGAGGGCAATTTTCCCTACTTCGTTTTCTGTCATGATTAAGTCGTCGCTGTCATTGACTCTGAATGGAACAGAAAAAGGAACTGCATAAGCCACTTGCCCATATCCAACCTTTTCAGCCGTGAGGCAATGCTGCAACCACATGCTAATGAAAGCCCCTCCATTTTAGTGGCCAACGAATCAAGCGGAACAGCCCACCTTTTCCACAAAATCTCTTTTAACGAGCGTCTGATATTTTGCCGAATTTGTGAATTTGGCTGCGACGGTGCTGCACCCATGGCCCCGAGGCGTCCCGGGGCAGGCGAGGCGGTGGGAACAGAAGGTACCACTGGCTTCCTTACAGCTCCCACCAGAGCAGCAGAGCCGGGGAACTTTTTGGAGGCTGCCGTTGCCACTGCGGGTGCCGGTCCTGCCTGCCTGGCAGTGGAAGCACCACTTGATGGGGTAGTTGACAGCCATGACCTCTTGGGGATGGTGCCCTTGAAGCCTGAGGGTGACTTTTTAATGGCTGGTTTGGCCGCTGCCACATTAGCAAAAGGCTTCTTTGGCACGAGATTTCTAGGCGCAAGCTGCTTGCCCGGCACGGAGCCCGGAGGGGCTGTTTTCTTGGAGGCTGCCATGGCTGCTGCTCTCTCCTCGGACCTCCTGTCTTCCTTGGTGGCTGCAAAGGAGAACACAGGCGCTGGGTGAGAGAAGGACATGACAGGGTGCTGTCACCTGTCTCTAAAAGCAGACCTGCCCTTAAACCTGTAAATGCCCACCTGGCACTCCTGAATAGAATACACATAGAGAAAAGGATTTGCAAAATCTTAACGTTCAGAGGAGCATAAGGGAGGGCTGCCAGCATTTACGATGGCGACCACATTTTATTTCAGAAAGAAAAATGTTTTATTATTACATTAATCTTTTACCTTCAACCAACAAACTCTAGTTAGCAAAGGCTTGACTTGATCACTAGTGAAACTTCAAATCTGAAGGAGAAATTTCACATTATCAATTAACAAAAGCCAGATTTAGAACAGTGTTGTCATTATTAATCCAAGTGCAAACTTTTGTAAACTTAAAAGATCGTTTCAAAGGGAAAACAGGTTCTCTTAGCCTGGTGGGCGGGGTTTACACATCTGACTCCATTATCTTTCCAGACCAGAGTTCATTGGAGGCGACGCCATTAACAAAAATACAGAAAGCTGGGATACACCTGCATCAAGGGAAGAGGACCAGCCACACTGTTACACGAAGAGTGAGATGCTGAGAACACAGCCATGCTGTTACAGCAAGGTTTCCATTTATAACCCTCGTGCTGTAATTCCATTCAGTGGTGAAGTATTAATCCAAACAAGGATTAGAATAGCAGCTCAGACAGACATCAAAACCCCTCTACTTGCACAAAAAGCTTTCTATGCCAGTAGAGATCAATCCTGTGATCTCATTGGAGCCCAAAGGGCCTCAAGCAGGGGAGCAGACAGCCTGACAGTGGACAGGGTGCACCACATGATGGGGCAGGGATCCAACTAGTGGGACAAAGGAATGAAGCGCCTGGGGAATGGGGGACCTTGTGAGGGCCCCAGGACAGCAGGCTGTCTCAGCTCCAAGGGCAAGTGCCTGGGAGCTACCTCGGGTGATCAAGTAAACAAGGCACCTGAGATGCCTCCCCGAGGGAAAGGCTTTTCCAGCGAACCCTGCAGCAGCAAGCCTCTGAAGCTCCCAGAGGCCTAAACAGGGGAATGTGACAGATGCTACCAGAAGCGCTTGTTTAACTCAGGATTAAAAATAAAAGAGCTCCTTTGCCATCATCTTATTGAGGTAAGTCTGACAGCTCAGGAAAGAGCCCAGACTCTACAAATAAGGCCTGATTCAACAGCCTGCCCCAGCTTGGCCCTGCCAGCCTTGGCCACGTTGGCAGAGGGTGCCAGCCCTCCCCAGCGGCCTCAGGGCTGCAAGTCTTCAGAGCTTCCAAGATAAGTAAAATTCCTTAAATTTTACAAAACTTGCACCAGTACTACATGAATCTAAAAAGGTGTTACTGTTCACAGATACCCATCCCAACTTTGAGGATTTTCATGTGTTCTTTCCTAACCATTTTAACGGTGATTAAGTAAAGGCGAATCCTGTATTTTCATCTTAGAGTCTTTCTAGCCTCACGGCCCCTGCCTAACCCTTGCCAGATGTGGACCAGGTTGCCTGGCAACACTGCCAGGCCCCGCCTCGCTCACCCACAACCACACCCCAAAACACTCCTGTGGGTGCTGGATCTTAAAATGCACATTAAAGCAATGGCAATGTTTAACAGGATAGGAACAAAGGTGTCAGATAGTTTTTGTGTCTAGGAAACTCTTTTAATTCTGCATGTACTGTTTTCTCAGATTGTTTATATGCCCAAGGAGTCACTACCTTAGAGATTAAAAATCATTTTTAATGATTCAGTTTAACTTGTCAGACTTAGCCAACAAGGTTTGCAGCATCTAACCCACAGGGCTGCTTGCTGTAGGTTAGGCAGGTCAAGTAGCGGAGACCCCTTTTCTTGGGGTAAGCAACAAGGGGGTGGGAATGGAATGAACAGGTACAGCAGGGCACACAGGGAGGCACTGACACCAGCCAGGCACCAGGAACCAAACTCTGGTCTCTAGAGGCAGCAAACAGACACCTGCCAGGAGGCCAACTATTATGATTCAAACTGAAACCTTAAACCAGTTCAGTGGGTGCACCAGAAACTGCGGAGTGTTTTAGTTTCACATTTAAAGAACTCAAAAGCTGGCTTAAGGCATTTCCAGGAACCTTAACAAAATGCCTTGGAAGTACCACACAGGACACCTGTGTGCTGTGACCTGAAAGAGATCTTTAGTGATGTTTAACACTGACCTTGTTTTGAGCTGGGGTTGTGTGCTAACTTCAAAAACACCAACTCCACGTCTCCAGATCTAAGTGTGAGAATGAGACGGCCACAGCCACGCTCAGGATTTCTGCTTGCGTACCTGGAGTCTTGTCTCCCTCACTTAGGAAAAACCCAAGCTGCGAGGTGACTTTTAGGGCATCCCAATACATTGAACTAAAACCACCCATTACCCAGGAGTGGGACAGCAGATGAACATAATTTATTTCAAAAGCAGGAGATGGCTTTCACTAACCATTGCTATTTTAAAAAATTAACTGCTCCCTAGTTTCTGAGGGGAAGCTTTGTCATCCCTCATCTGTGCTTCAAAGAGCAGGGAACTGGGCAGCGTCAGGAGAGTGAATGGCAGCCGTGCCGTGCAATACAAAGCCAGCCCCACGCCTGCTCTGAAGGGAAAAGCTCCATCCAGCAACTGCTCTGGGGGCCGGCACACACCCATTCCACTCCAGGTGGACGGCATGGCAGGTGCTCAACTCGGGTCAGCTGCTGCTGAAATGGTGGCAGAAACTCACTTTTTAGTAGAGTTCAAATTGAATTTGCAAGTTCATCCAAAGTCACTTTGAACTATTGTTGTGTATGACTTTAGAGAAAGGCAAGCAGTAACTATAACCCCCCTGGGAAAAAACCCACTGCAGAAAACAACACTGCCTGTCAGGGTACAAGCCTCCCCTTCATGCTGCTGGGTTCTCTGGGGGCAGCAGTGGTGGTGACCTGGTCACCCCACAGAGCACTGATGCCCAAGTTCCATGTCTTTCCTGCCTCTCCCAGCACCTCTCTGCCCCTTGGCTGCAGCGGTCTCCTTTAGCTTCCACATTCTGGGGGCCTGCCCAGGCCACTGCGCCAGATGAAGCTGTTGCTGCCGGGCGTGGGTTCCAGCCAACTGTAGAACGAAGCAGGTCGTCGTCGTGCACATGGATCAGCGGCACCCTCTAATTGGCCAATTTCCCCCAAAGCAGGAGTAAGGCAGGCTTAGGTGCTACAGCGCCGCTGGCCACTGGGTGGCACCAGGACATGAGCAGACACCGGGAGGACAAAATCAGGCCCCCACTGGAGGATGGTGCTCCTCCGCTCCCTGTGTAGAACCCGTGCAATTGCCCCAGTGGAAGTTTTTGCAGGACGGGGATTAAAATATGGGGCAAGAGACCAAGTCTGCAGAGTTCTGGCCTGTCCAGAGGCCCACGTCTAGGGACCTTATTTGCTGGACGGCTCCTCACAGGGAAAGGAATTGGTTATAAAAACAACTTAAAAAAACACCACCACTTGCCCTTGCATAGGCATTGACAATGAACTGGCCTGCCCTGTCCTGGTATGGCTGGCTGGTCCAGGATTGCTGCAGCAGCAGACCCCACTGTGTCCTGAATCCTACCTGTCACTGCCAGCTACAGCTCTAAGGGCCGTTTCTATGCCGTGCACCTGGAAATAGACTCGAGACACAGTGAGGGATCTGTGGAAGGAAATTCTGTTCACTGTGACCTATCTCCAGCCCTCAGTGAGGCATGTGTACAACGCAGTTTCCCACTTTACCCGTTTCCTCACCATCAAGATTTCCCCTAGTGTGAATGATCAAGGTGACAGCAGCAAGAGAAAACATACTGCCTTTGCTCCTCTCAACATGCTGAAATGTGTTCAAATAAATTAGCCTTAGTAAGTACAGTAAGTTACTGGTTTGCTTCCATGTTGGGGGAAACCATGGTTAATTCCCAAATAAGCAGGCACAGACCACCTCCCAGGTGCTCCTCAGAGATCATCACTGCGGCCGGGATGCCCTCACAGGGTCCACAGCCAGGCTGCCATGTTTTGGAATACTCAAACGCTTTCCTTGGTTAGTTTTCTTACCAATACCTACTGTACGAGTGCCTTCCATCTTACTGAAAAGGTGTGCGATTCTCCTTAAGAAACTTGAAAAAAAGTAATTTGTCTACACCTGGAGGCAAATTACCCTTCCTTGGTTTACTGGCCTCACGTAGCATTTTAACAATTAAAACCTGATTCATGTTGGGATGAGTCTATACAAAGAACTGGCCGACTTCAACGAGAACCACAACAATAAAACATGCTGAGGGCCACGTGGAGAGACGGACGTTCCACTCAACTGCAATTTCAGTCATGCCCAGCTGCGCATGGTGTGCCTGGCTGCGAAATCCATTTGGGAGCAGAGCCGCTGCTCTTCTGAGATCTCCCACACCAGTAATTTAATCTTGATCATCTAAACTGTGCACTACTGAAACCAATATGATGTTAGGGGCATGTTAAATTAGCCCATGACCCTCCCTTGAAATCCCTCCAGTCCCAAAGGGCCACGTTAAGTATGAAAGCCCCCAGCTGACAGCACTGTGAGAGGCACGGCTGAGGAGTATGCAGTCAGTTACCTGACATTCTTCTTGCCGAACTCTTCCAGGTTTGCGGCAAATCAAAGTTGCCACAACCTTCATTTAATAAGTAGCAATAATTCTTGTCCATCTTCTAAGTTACTTCTCTAAATTTTAGAAGCTAAGAACATAACTATGTGTATGTTGATGCATTAATAAGAAAAAAAACCCTCAGGATTATTTTACAAGTTTATACAAATCTACCTTAAACTTCTGTACCACAGTGGAGGAACTGTAGCAGGCATCTTCAGAGGTGACCTCTGCACTTGTGACACCGATGCCAGAGGGGCTTTCCTGAGTATTAATCTTTAACTATTACAGCAGATCCATAGCTTCAAAAGGTTCTATGAAGGTGACTGAAGAGGTGGTGAATTCGGTGGGACCGATCCTGCTGGAAACTTCGATCCCTGCGCCCCGCCTCCCCGCAAGTGGCGGAAGCATAGCACAAAGTGGGCAGTCGAGGGACGGATGGAGGGCACCACAGGAAGGAGCTGGCTTGGGGCTTCACCACGCAGGCTCAGGGTTATGGAGATGTGGAACCTTTCCCTCATGTCCCTTTCTCAATGGCACGCTTTTTTAAGTTAATAAAAAGTAAAACACTTAAAAATGCCAAAAGAATGTCATTATTGACAACCAAGAAACGTCCAGTTATGTGGGTACATAAAAGCAGCTATCAAGCTATACCCTTTTTGTACAAATTCTGACTTTCCCTCTAAGTGGGAGGACGACATTGGTGGAGATGCGGAGTCTCGTGACTCCCAGCCTCATTTTACTGCCGCTGACAACTCTGGAAGGGACACATCAAAAGAGCTCAAGCGACCGCTGACAGAAGCCACCTCCTCTCCCGGCTTTAAATTCCTGCAAAACACTCTTAGGTTCTAGAGCCCAGCCGCCCCACCCATGTATTTTTTATTATTGAAAACTGAAACTGGATCCTCTGAGGATTTCAGTGAAACGTGCTTCTGGAGCCCACATCATGAGTTCTCCTTGTGAACGGTGTTCTCCGTCCCTCTCATGCCACCAGGGCCTTCTCTGTGGCAGCACGTGGGAACAAGAGGCAGTGCTTCCACCTGGCGCCATGCTTAACACAGCGTCTGGATCTGGGTTTACAAACTGGCAAGGTTTTCCACTTTAATTCCAACGGCTAGATGAACTGTAGAATCTGCTTTCCAGTCAAAATCTGTTCAGATCCTCAGTGTTTAAGTCACTTTATGAGCCATTTAGGGAGTCCAAAACACTGGGAACTGCACCTATAAATGCCAGAATTCCACTGCAAAAGTCTAGTCAGTCAGGTATACCTAAGAAACAAGTTTCCAACTGACTTCATGCCTGGACAATAATGAGAGGTGAACTAACAGTGGGAATAAAGAGAAAAAAGGAAGAACAATATAAAAACACAAACCTCATGATCCTCGAGAGAAGTATGTGCCAAATGTTTCCGTAAGCTAAAGAAATTGTATACATAATTTTTAAAAACAAATGGGAGGAATAGGTGAGGCTGTGAAGCACCTACTGACACCTCACCAGTGGCAGAGCATCTGTGCGCAGGACGCTCCAGGGCAACCGAGTGCCACAGGAAGGACAGGAAGGGGCCAGGTGCACCCTGGGGAGCAGCAGTGGCAGCTCTACCCCGTGGGTCTTCTGATGGCAGGCATGGTGAGGCAAGCGTGCAGCGACTCACAGGACAGACCCACACCAGCCTCACTTCCAATCTCACTCCCTATAGGGAAGGAGGGCTCCATGGCCAGCCAGGGAGGCAGAGTGTGGGCCTCAAAGACATACAGCAGTGACAGGCTGTTGAGCCCGCGAAAGTGGAGAGATGTTTAGTGGGGAGGCAGAGACATGGTAGCTGCTCCTACCAACGCCCCTTAACTCTGCTCCCATCAACCACTTTTTGGGAAGATACCTTTCTGGGAAAACAAAACAGAAGCTACCAGCTCAAAAGTGCGTCCCCCATTCACGTCCTGTATAAATTCTGGAAACCTACCAATTTTAACTTGAGGTGATGTGCTGGGAAGGCTAACAGGCATTAACTTCCCCCACTTCCTGCCCCTGGGGCAAATCAGCTTCCAGAGCAACTGATGTGTAGCAAAGAAGGGAACAGGGAGAGCAGGTCAGAGGACCCAGCTACGGGCAAAGCTCCAGCCTCCTTGTCGAACTTGCCCGGCTCACAGTGAAGGAGGCAGGCAGGAAGCAATAACCCAGGGATGAGCCCCTCATTTCCCCATCTTCCCACCAATGCTCCCTCCCCGAAATGTACAGCAATGTACATTGGCTTCTGCAACTCCACGTGTGGAGTTTCCCCGGCAGCTTTTCAATTCTGGTTGACACAGATGGAAATTAACCAAACTGAAATTATCACCCTCTTATGTGAACTGAGGTTATTAACCCCAGTTTTTCTTTTCTTGATTGTTATGTGCCTATAACCAACGCAGGGCTAAATTTCAGCACAGCATGAAAAACCCCTCCCTCTGCATTCACAAGGTGGGTGACACTTACTTTAAGTCCATTAGCTCTGTAGAATTGCTCTACTGGAGAGGTACTAGAGTCTGATGAACACTGGAGACATTATTTGCTAGCATAAAATTCTCAGCTCAAAACAACGTAAGGCGTCTCAAGGTTCATGAAAATTACATGGTTCAATTTATCTGCAGCTCAATTTCTTAGGTATAGGCTGTTTACATGATCAAAATGAATGACCTAATTTTCTTTTACTACACTACTCAAACTCAAGAACTGCATATTTTTGGCCAGGCACAGTGGGGCTCATGTCTGCAATTCCAGCACTTTGGGAGGCCAAGGCGGGTGGATCACATGAGGCCAGGAGTTCGAGACCAGCCTGGCCAACATGGTGAAACCCTGTCTCCACTACAAATACAAAACTTAGCCAGGAATGGTGGCAAGGGGCCTGAAATCCCAGCTACTTGGGAGGCTGAGGCAGGAGAATCGTTTGAACCTGGAGGTGGAGGTTGCAGTGAGCCGAGATCATGCCACTGCGCTCCAGCCTAGGCAACAAAGTAAGACTGTCTCAAAAACAAAAACAAAAAAAAACCATATATTTTGTAAACCACACCAGATCTAGTACAGCACAGATGTGTCTGCTGCAGTAAGCACCTCCCCCGTAGGGAATCTGCCACAGGTCTGATCACAGGGAAAATGCAGCACTCCTTCATCATCTTTGAATTGATGGCTATTTAACCTTTCGGTGCTTTCTGAAAAAAGCACAAAATGCACAATAGACAGAAGGTATTAAACACTAAATTGAAAACCGTTTTATAGCAGAAAACTGAGAAACAAGGAAACATTCATGTTGCATCACAGAATCCGAGGTTTCAAAGATGTCTGAAATATCTTCATTTCATAACTTTGAAACTTGGAGCAGGGTATGCTCGTAACAGTCTAAACATTCAAGAGAGGAAGGTAGGAAAGCCAGTCGCATGTAGAATACCAAGTCCAAGCCACGCGTCCTGAGGTCAGGACGGTGTTCTAGGTGTGAACTCACTTACCGTGAGGACTACGAAGCAGGAGCGCGTGGCCTTCAGAGTTCGAATGTGTGTTTATGCGGGTGTGTAGCATGTAAATCGGACATTAAAAAAAAAATCCCCCATCTGCCTAGTCAAAAATAAACGTAACATCTGAAAATCATAGGTAAGTTGAGCATCAGACGCGACACTAACTTGCAGATTCCCACAACATAAAGAAGTGATGCTTTCATGTGCTGAACGTGGATAATGTGGAAACTGCAGTGTACACCGGGCTGTCATCAAACAGCTGAGGTGGGGACAGATGAACGCTGAGTGCCCGGCAGTGTGGCTATGCAATCAGACTTGGATGAAGACAATACAAATACTTACCAGAGCCTGACAGTGAAAACAGAGATCAAACAATCAATCATTAAGGTGAAATGTTCACCAGTGGGGTTTGTACAGCTTTGGTAAACAGTGACAGGAAGTCTCAACAGACCAGGGTGGACACAGGGCAGCAGAAGGCATCCTGGACCTGGGCTCTGCTTCCCGCTGATGGTGCAGCCGGTGTCTGTGATCAGCTTAACACACAGCTGCAACTCCCAGGCCTGGGCAGGCCCAGGGGATGGCTATCCAGAAAGAACGGGAGGGGTCCAGGAGGCCAACCCCTAGGTGATACATACATTTATACAACAGTGATGGCGAGGGAGCGGCAGTCTTTTCTGGCTTGACTGCATTGTAATTGTGATCGCTCGCCCACGACGGCGTGCTGCTTTCACAAGCTGCTTCTTTCCCAAGTGCCTCGCTCCGAGCGGGGGCCACCACTGCCTTCTTCACGGTGCTCTCTTTTTTTTCTGGAGCTGGTCGCTTGTGCACAGAAGAGATTTTAATGCCTGCCTGGATAATCATTAAAACCCCAAATCATTAAGAAGGTAAGAAATGACACCTGCACTTCATTTCACTGAGTGATGAAGGTAGGGACCCAGTGTCTTCTTGGGGCCATCAAGCCCCTGCACCCACCCTGCGCCTGCCTGGCAGCAGCTCAACACACTTGTGGATGGACCCAGGGGGCCCACAGGGCCCCTCTGCAAAACTGAGGACTTCAACCACCTGAGCTGCACGAGGGGCACCTGGCACGGAGTCACCTGCGACCCTGAGTAAGTGCCAGATTGCTAAGATGACAGGAGCAGCGGCCACTGGAGGGTGGCAAACCAGGCCATACGAGAGGAACGGCCTGTGCCCAATGCCAAGGGTTCAAAGGGACCAGCCTTAAAAACTAAGTCATCCAAAGGGTAATCATTTGAAAACAATCAAGACAACTCCCCAAACAGTGCTAGTTATCCTTTGCTGGTCACAAACATAACAGGGGCAGTGACAAGCCACGGCCACCTGAGACCCGGAAGGGGCCTTGAAGTCTAAGACAAGAGGTGATGATTTCTAAGCACCCTGGATTCTTTCCAAGTCCCATGGAGTACAAACATGAGACAATTCTGAGCTGGGTCTTCAATAACGCACACAGCCCTGCCCAGAACCCACCTCCCACTCCTGCCGGCCTGAGTCTACGTTTTACAAACTCCATCGGGTGGTTACAAACTCTTCTTACAAGACAGCAGGGTTTGTCCTCAAGTCTTACGCCCCGTGCAGTGCCCTTGTCAGCATCTGCTTTACTGCACTTACATTAATGAGCCCCTCAGCTAACAGGCAGAGAAGGGAAAACTGGTGGGAAGGCGACGTCACTTGTGCTCCACCCACACCTGCCACCCCCACGTTCTAGAAACCAGAGGGTCTGAGACAAATCCTCCTGCACGCCTGTGCGTCCACTGCTTGTATGGCTGGTCTTGGTCAACTTACCTGAACGCTACATTTCAGGAGACTGGGCTTTTCTGCCTTCATCTTCATCTTTTCTTTAGGTTTCGGCTTCTGATCTTTACCTGAGCTAAGGAACTTCATTGTGGCCGCGGCGTGTTTGAGGATACAGTCATTACTGCAGTACACAGAGTCTGGCTGTGCCACGTGACAGCACCCGGGGCCGATACATTTCGAGGCACCAGGCGCCTCTATCACCTGCAGAATAGAACAGATGACTTCAAATAATGTACTTGCCAATTTTTAGCAGTTAAGTGTTTTGTAAAATCACCATTTATAGTAGCATGGCCACCGTTTTAAAATAAGATACTAACAGTATTTTTTATATGAACAAACATTTATTTTGTGTATTCCAGCTATGAGAATCCCCTTGCACCAGGTAAGCGTTCACGTTGTCACTGCCCTTCATGCCCTGCGGCCGCCGCCCCACACTGGACCCATGGGACCTCACATCCACAATGAGGCCCCACTAGAGGACACACATGCATCTTGCACATGTAATTAAGGCCCTAACTGGGATGAAAAACATTAGCTGGGCATGGTGGCACGTGCCTGTAATCCCAGCTACTCAGGAGGCTGAGGCAGGAGAATTGCCTGAACCCAGGAGACGGAGGTTGCGGTGAGCCGAGATTGCGCCATTGCACTCCAGCCTGGGTAACAAGAGTGAAACTCCATCCAAAAAAAAAAAAAAAGAAGAAGAAGGACTGGGTCTTCTTGAAGAGAGAAGACTTCCTAGACTTCCTAGGTGGTCTTGAGGTAAGCTGCCCTGTTTTGAGAGGGTTTCCTGTGGCAAGGATCCGAGGGCAAGGCTTCCCAGTAAAACACAGGATGCCAATGCAATCTGAATGTCTGATAAACAATGAACACTTTTTTCGCATAAGTATGCCCCCCAGATTGCACGAGACGCACGCCCCCCAGATTGCATGAGACACACCTTTTTTTTTTTTGTCTGAGACAGGTCTTGCTCTGTTGCCCAGGCCAGCGGGCAGTGGCACAAGCATAGCTCACTGCAGCCTTGATGTCCTGGGTTCAAGTGATCCTCCCACCTCAGCCTCCCTAGTAACTGGGAGTACAGGCACGTACCATCACACCTAGCTAATTACTTTTTGTAGAGATGGAGGGTTCATTATGTTGCCCAGGCTGGTCTTGAACTCTTGGCCTCAAGTGATCCTCCCGCCTTGCCTTCTCAAAGTGCTGGGATTACAGGTGTGAGCCACAGCACCCAGCCGAACACACTTATACAGTAAAAAAAAGTGTGACAGTTTCTGGAAGGGAATCCCCCGCCAAGCCTCTCTTGAGACCACAGCCCCGGCTGCACGGTGACTATAGTCTTGTGAGGCCCGAGCAGCAGGCCCAGGCTTCCCACGGAAATGGAGGCATAAACGTGTGCTCCTTCCAGCCAGGACTGTGGTAACTCATCGTGCAGCCAGAGGAAACTCATGCGCCGCAAGCAGTGCGGCTGCCATTTACGAAGTCTGTCTCAGCGATCAGGCCGGCACACACAAACACGCACCTCACACATAATTAAGCAAAACTTCATTTCTCAAATTAAATAATCGGTTTTCCTCCCCAGAATTTAAGTTTTACTTAGAATACAATTTAGGTTTGTGTAGGGTTATGTCAAGCACATTGATAATAAAAAACTGCCAGGCATGGTGGTGCGTGCTTGCAGTCCCAGCTACTCGGGAGGCTCACTCAAGCCCAGGAGATGGAGGCTGTGGTGAGCCAAGACTGCGCCACTGAACTCCAGCCTGGGCAACAAAGCAAAGCCCCAACTGCAAAAAAAAAACCAAAGTAAATGAATTTTAAAAATAAAGACACAAAATTGATGACTATATTCTCATTAATTCACATTTCCATTAATCTCTGAATGGCTAAATGTGGTCCTGGCCGTGGACCATGTGGAGCGCGTGCCTGCAGCCCCTCAAAGTCTCCCGGGCACGTCCCCATGTGCACGGCCCAGCTGTCAAACATCCTCATGCTGCAGGTAACACAGTGCAAAACACAGTGCAAGAGTGCAAGGCAGAGATGCTTCTAGACACAGCAATCTCCAATACCTGCCAGAGGGCAGGCAGCTTCTAGACACAGGGTGAGGGCAGGCCTGGGACCCAGGAAGGTGCAGAGTGAAAACACACCAAGTCACATACACCCCGTGGGGACTGGAATGGAGACTCCAAACAGGAGACAGCAGCAGAAACCAACAGCATGTGGGAAATGTGATAAAAATCAGGGGGAGGGGACAATTAGGTCAACGCAACTGCAAGACAGAGAAACCACACTGTCAACACAAGCACCCCAAGGAACCAGCAGCAGAACCACGAGGCAGCTGGAGACTGCAGGTGACACAGGAGCACCGCCACTCCCGGCGCTCAAAGAATTCCGCTAGTAAGCACAGAACATGTGAGCAACGTCCAAATCCTCAAAGATGGGCTCATTTTCAAAATTAAGTCATGAACAGTAGAGGAGGCAGGCAGGGTACGCATAAAAATAGAAAGGCCTCACCCCGATGGAGTAAGGCAGGAACCTGGGAGAGGCACAGCCCCGCAAGGGCGCAGTGCCATCCTGGGAGGAATTCCCATCAAGAGCAAGACTAAAACCCGTGAGGCCAACCCCTGAATGCTTGTCTCAGTGGACAGACACTTACAGGCTGGAAGATCTTGAGTTTCTTCTTGCCGCTTGGATTTGCAGCTTTCTCAATTCTACCCTTTATCCCCTGGTCTTCGCCACACTTTTGCTCTATCGTTCCTATACTTGTACAATCTGTGCCATCAGCATCTCCAGGTCTGAATTTAGTTTCCTGCTGATCTGTGGTTTCTGAATTCGTCTCATCCTGTACTTGCAGAATGGTGCAGTTTGGGCAGATATAATCTTCCCCATTCCTTTCCAAGAGCCTGCCTCGAGCCTCAGAAATGCCCACACAATCGCCATGAAACCATTCTTCACATCGGTCACAGCAGATCATAAACCTGAAATGATAAAATAACGGTATTAGCAACAGGGAGTGAGTGACAAGCACTGACTTTTCAACACATTAGTAAGTCGACTGGTTTTATCATTATGAAGAAATGCAACTATACAGAAAAGTAGAGAATAAGAATGTCCACATTCCTTTCCCTTGATTTTAACATTCAACCAAACTTGCTTCCCCTTTTTTAAAGAAAGGGGCATTTTAGGAGTGAACTGTAGGGCATTCCACTACAGATACCTCAGCATGACTGCGATTACAATGCCTTTAACCCAGCAGCAAGCCAACAGGCTGCCCTGCACCACCTGACGCCCAGTCCTGGCAGAGGCTGAGCTGCCCCAACGTCTGTACTAGGCCAGCTGCAGTCTTCACAGAGCCCTCTGCCAAGTCTCCCAAGGAGCAATCTAAAGATGCGGTCTCAGACAGACAGACCCCCCGAGTGACAGACCCATTCTCCTCTGTGCTGTCTACACAGAGCCACTGGCTGGATGTGGCTCATGTGACTGGGGTGGGGAGCTATTCTTTCCTCACTTGACTGGAAACAGCCATGGTGGCTGGTGGCTACCAGAGGGGAGAGGTGGCTCTAGGCAGTCCTTAGCCACTCTACGTGTTTCTTTTTTGACAATGACTTGTTCGTGTTTTCCAACTTAACAAATTATTCATCCGGCCCAGCTTTGTAACCCTTTAAAATGAAAACAAATGGAAAATTGTTTTTGTCCCTGGGATTCCTGTGGCCGCTGAGGTAGAGTGCCCACACATGACCCACCTGTTGTTGTGGGGCTGGCGGCAAATGCAATACAGGGCGTTGGGGTCATAGCCCTCACATTCCGGCTTCGGTCTGCCCGTGTCCGCAGGCTCCTCATCTTTGATGCCCTGAGCCGCCTTTCCCTCCAACTTAGTCTCTCTGTCGTCTTTCCCAGCCTGGGACACAACCCCCTCCTCGTTCTCAGGTTCCTGCTTACTGGGCAGGACGTCCTCCACAGCATCACCGGCCTCAGGGCCCACAGTCGCGGCGGGGCCCTCCTCCCGACGCTTCTTCCGCAGGCGACTCTGGACCCCTTTCAGGGGCCTCTCGGTGGGCTCCTGTTCCCGCTTCCTGCGAAGGCGATTCTGAAGTTCTTTCAAGGTCAGGCCATCGCTGTCACTATCGGAGGTGTCATCCTCGTCATCCCCTCCTTTCGCCTTTTCAGAAGAGGCCTTGTCTGTCACAGCTGTGGAAGCCGACTGGGAGCCGCTTCTGATCTCAGAAGCGCTTTCCACGCTGCCCTCAGAGGCAGTCTCGGCATCTGTGGCGGGACAGGACGTGGGCTCACCAGAATCCTCCAGGGAGACAGGTGTGTTCCTCCTGCCGCGGCGCCGCGCAATCGTCAGGAACTGCTCCACGCGCTCGGTGCGCTTCGGCTGCCTCCCACTGCGGCGCAGGGACAGGCCCAGCTGCTGCTGCGGGGGCGGCGGCTCCAGTGGGTCAGCCTCCGCATCCCCTGCTCCCTCTCGCTTGGCGATAGTGGTCCTTCGAAAGCCCCATGTTTTCCTGAACTCTTTGCTGGTGGGTTTAATGGCCTTAGGTGCCTCCTCGTTGCTTGGGTCACCTTTGTCATCCATACCTAGCAGAAAAGCATATGCACATGGTAACCAACCGACCACGGAGCAAAGGACGACACAGCCACCAATCACGCGCAGCACAGACCACCTCCCTAAATGCCCCTTTATAAACAACATGCTTCCTATGGACAGTGGACCTCCACACAAAGCAAGCCCTTCTGACCATGTTTCCTCATGTGTGCTACATGATTTTAATATACTTCAACAACTAACGTTTAGACAAAAATACAGCGAACGAATCAAACGTACAATTTCTTCATCTAACTGCTTAGGCCAAGGCTTCACGAGACAGGTAGTAGCGACAAATCTAAAATAATGAACAGCACAGTGGTGAAGTGGTATAAGGACGTCCCAGCTCAGGGGCAGCACAAGCTCCCCAGCACTTCCGCAGGCAGATGGGCTACTGACCACAAGCGCAGTGAACGAGACGCTGTGCCAGGATGGGCACGGCCTGCAAGAGGACCCAAGTCTGTTCTGGACTTTGTAAGAATGGGCTGCGCACTAGCATGCTCGAAAGAGGATATGGAGAAGTTGAGCCCTGACTTTCAGCTCCCCAACCAGGGGCTGGGGCCAGGAAGGGCACCCGGTAACTATCTGGAACCCTCCACACCGGCACTGCTGCCAAGTGAATGACCCTCATGGGCAGCAAGGGAGAGAGCTGCCTGACTCCTGACCTACAGACTGTGTGATAGGAAATAGACCTCGTGTTAGTCCACTGAGCTTTGGAGATATTGTTAGAAAATACAGTCAAGGTGATCATTTTAAGGTATATTTCTTTTCTGTATTCCTTTTCACTTTAATTCTAATACATTGCTAAAGAATCTTATTTGTGGGCTGGGCGTGGTGACTCACGCCTGTAATCCCAGCACTTTGGGAGGCCAAGGAGGGTGATCATCAGCTCAGGAGTTTGAGCGCAGCCTGGCCAACATGGTGAAACCCTATCTCTACTAAACATACAAAACATTAGCTGGGCGTGGTGGTGCGTGCCTGTAATCCCAGCTACTTGGGAGGCTGAGGCAGGAGAATCGCTTGAATCAGGGAGTCAGAGGTTGCAGTGACCTGAGATCGCTCTACTGCACTCCAGCCTGGCGACGGAGCGAGCCTCTGTCTCAAAGAAAAAAAAAAAAAAAATCAGTTTTATTTGTGAAACTTACTCTTGTTGAAATGACATAATCTGAAAAAGACAGTATATACTTTGAGGATTATCTTCCAAGCTGCCCAAGCTTTAGTTACATTTAAATGCTAATGATGACTGATTCTGTGTCATGCTCTGTCTTAGGGGAGGGACTGGGATAAAATGGAAGTCTTACAAAGTATACAAAATGGAAAATTACTTGCAACCTGTGTTGTTCTTTCTGCTTCCCTCTAAATACCGTCACTACTTCTCACTTTCCGGTCCAGCTAAAGATGCTGCCTGGCGGTGGCCTCCGTGCTGTGAACGTGGCCCACACGCTCCCATGTCACCACGCAGAAGCCTTGGAGGTAAGGGCCACACCACTTCTATGGTTACCTCAAGTGACCCCATTGTTAAAGGAAACAGCCAAACCTAATCAGGGTGCCAGGACTGACTCCAAGTCAGAGCGCAAACTCTACAGGCTGCTGTGTGAGGTGGGCACTAGAGACGGGGATAAATAGAAAGGTGGGCTTCCTTCGCCAGCCAGGTGACCCTAGGCAGGACAAAAGGAACTGCCCTCAACCAGGAGACAACGCTGACCTCAAAAGTTGTGGGCAAAGCGGAGAATGCTGCTTATAAATATATATGCTAGAGCAGTTATTAAACCACATCAGTTAAAACTGTTTATTCATTCTCATTGGAAATTTTACATTTATAAAGTTTTTCTGCTTGTGCCAGCCAAAATATTTGCGGCAAATGTGACAGTCACCTTTAAGAGGGTCATCAAGCCCTCATTCTCATGTAACACTTGGAGTTTCTACTAAAGATGTAGTTAGAGGGGCTGGCACCAGGCTTTCCCAGAAAGGCATGAAGTTGTAGTGTCCCCTCTGCCTCTGGGGCCCATGAAACGCCAACGCAGCTGAAAAGGGCTGGGGCCGCCATGCTGGTAGCTTTCTATGGGAAGAACGCTACAAAACTGAGTTCTCATTACAGAGAGAAAAGGCTATTTATATATGACCTATGCAAAACCTCTCAAATATTTAAATCACCTCTAGATTACATCATAGAAATAGCTGCTGTACTATACTGTTTTATACAATTTTTATTAAGCGTTCAATTATTATTTATTGTTTGACCCCCCAAATATTTCGATCTGCAGCTGGCAGAATCCACAAATGCAGAATCTGCTGCTATAGAGACTGGTCATACAAATGGCTGAGTGTATTTCAAATAAACACAAATACTACATTCTATCAGTTTTTTTTTTACAAATGCCACTTTAGAAACAGCAAATGCAGACTTATTACGTTAAAATTTTGTCGCTACTGACTAAAAGTATTGATACCTTACCTGCTCCAACACTGAAAGCTTGCCACTTCCCTGAAATCCTAAATACAAGAAAAAAACCCTGGCAGATGAAAGCTCTTGGCCCAAGCAGACAGCCAGGCTCACGACGCCACTGTCGTCAGCCACTGTTCACAAGTAACAGGCTTCGTATTTTCAACAATTCAGATTATCTAGAGGCTGCTCCCATGGAGTAAGCTCCTAAAAGAAAATAAGAAAACATCTTACATTTTTAACGAAAATTAAGTATCAATAACAACTAAAAGGAGGCACCAAACTTCCCAAGAAACCTATTATTTGAGTTACACTATGTGACCCAGAAAGACAGCTTGGGAGTTGAAAATAAGCATCCTCAAGGACATTTACTCAGGACAGCAGATGCCACCAACACCCTCCGAGAGAAAGGGGCAATGGCAGTGCAGGAAGGAGTGGAGTCCCAGGCTTGCCCCAGGGAGGCAGGCAGAGGCACAGCCAGACCAGGGCAGAGAGGAGTCGCCAGGCATCAGCTTCTCTTCATTTGGAGCTTACGTCTCAGATGGACCCCATTCAAGAAAACCCAATACAAAACAGAGAAGAACAAAAAGTGAAAAGGCTGAACAACAAAAATTATCTAACAATGTAATTATTGAAAATTCTTAATACTGTGGCTGTATTTTAATTAAAAACCCAAGAAAAATTTTAGAAGACTTTTTGACTTACTAAAATCAACAGGATACAGCTCACCGTATTTAAAAAACACTTCCATATCCTCTTTCAAGCAGGCGCATCAGAACACCCAGTGGTCTGGTTTCTAGTCAGGTCCTTTGCCCCAAAGCCCTTTCCCAAGCTGAGCTCCTGCTCTCACCTGGTCCTCAGCCTCAAGACCAACTGCCTTCCCTCTGTGGTTTCCCTGGCAACCCCAGAACAAAGGGACAAGCATTCCAGCTCCCCTCCTTTTAAAGGGACAGTGACAGCTGGGCACAGTGCTTTGCATCTGTGATCCCAGCTGCTTGAGAGGACTACTTGAGCCCAGGAGTTCTACGGGACAAGCCCAGGCAACATGGTGAGACCCTGTCTCTACAGGAAATAAAAGTAAGACAGGGATCACTCAGACTTCAGCACTCCCTCCGATCAGCCAATGCTATCTTCACAGTCACCAGCTCTTCAATGTGGTAAACCTGGCCGCAAAATGACTACTTCAAGAGTTCAGAAACTACTGCTCAGAAAACACTGGAAATAAACTTTGATATTTCACAACACCGAGCATTTAATTTATTTTCCTTTTCAAAGAGTTGGTGTCTTGCTTTGTTGCCCAGTCTGGAATGCAATGGCCCGATCATGGCTCACTACAGTCTCAAACTCCTGGGATCAAGTGATCCTCCTGTCTCAGCCTTACGAGCAACTGCAGCTACAGATGTGCGCCACTACGCACAGCTGATTTTTTAAAACATTTCTTTTAGAGACAGGGCCTCGCTACGTTGTCCAGGCTCATGCTGAACTCTTAGCTTCAATCAATCCTCCTGCCTCAGCCTCCAGAGTTGCTGAGATTACAGGCACGAGCCACTATGCCCAGCAACACCAAACATTTATAAAAGCAAAGAAATTAAGATGTTCTTAGGAATGAAAACCGATTTGCAAAAATTCAATTTATGTTAACCTGCAAAGTAATCATGCTACTAGATTTGAATTCTGAGTAATCAGAAAAATGAAGTTATTTCTGTGAAGCAGAATGCGATGAAGGACACACCTTCAGAAAAGATCAGAGCACTGTGTATTTACAAAACTGACTTTACAATGTCTTCAACACAGAAAATGTACTACATTTTAGTTAGCTTATAAAATAAAAACATAAGAATATCAAGGCCCAAGCAAAAAAACTGTTTTAAGTTTCTAAACAACTTTTTTGTGTGTAGAATTAGTGTGTAACTCTGCATACGGCAGCACTGCAGGGGAACGTGCTCATGAAAATGCAGCCATATCGTGTCAGTCACAGCCTTTCCCCAGAGGGAAAAATGCAGGCATCCTTGAAACTGGGTGAAAACAGAATGCACTGAATTGATATTATCTTCTTTTTCTCAGCCGAAAACTGCTTCACTTCCTATTAATTAGAAGGGAGCTGAAGAGCAATTAATGATTCAAGCCTAGGATGCAGACTTCCAAATTCTTCAACAGCTGCTCTCTAACCTTTTGATCAAGACACCCTTACTCTTAAAAGTTGAGAAAACCAAAGAGCTTTTCTTTATGTGGAATATACTGCTATTTTCAAATTCTAAATATGTATTAAAAATAAATTAATACATTAACAGTATCTTTAATGAAAAAAAGTTATTTCTAAAACAAACAAAAATGAACGCGGAGCGCGGCCCTGCTGTCCATTTCTGCAGATCTCCGGCTTAACACAGAAGACAGCTCCATGTTCCTGTCTCCTGAGTTCAACCTGCTCCCAGACTGTTTCAGCTCAAACGCAGCATAAAAATCCTGCCTCACACAGACAGGTCATTAAAAATGGGAGTACTGTAACCATCTTCACATAACTGCGGATGCTCACTACACCAATTCTCGCCAAGCAGCAGTTTCATTAAAGTTAGCTGAAAACAGAATTTGATGCCTTTGTCAATGAACTTCTCACTTTCTTCCATTAAAACCAACTGCTGTGCTGCACTCTGAACACATCCTGGCACTCTGAACCTGTGTGCATGGCTGGTCACCTGGATGACATGAGTCCAAGTTTCAGACAGAGATTCTCAATGTCCACACATCTCATCAGACAGCATAAAACAACCACATTTTTTTTTCTGTTACCCAGGCTGGGGTGCAGTTGCACAATCAAGGCTCACTGATACAAGTTTTCCAAAATTCCAATTTTCACCCCAAAGCTCAAATTTTATCCTTAGCAACAAACATTCTTCGTTCTCTGAGATATCATTCGCTTTGCACAAAATGCCTGCCACATGCTGAGTCTGAAAACTGTCCTCCGTCTGTTGTTCTGTCAGGGACAGTCAGCGTTCCCAAAGACCACTCAGCTCCCCGCTCAGACCCCTAGGGCTGTACATGGAGACAGCACCCATGAGTGGACACAGCAGAAGCTTTTTATATGTAACTTGACATTTAATCACAGGGAAAGTAAAGACGTATGTTTGGGGGTTAAGAATGAATAAAATTAGTATTTACTGCAACACCAGGGACATTCTTTGGGAAAATCAGCATATTCTAAACAGACAGTGCTCATGCATGGTGCTGGGAGGTGGGGGGGGCTCCAATCTGCGCTGTGCCACCGGCACAAATGTCAAACTCAACAGAAAAGGCCCGTACTATTAGACTATTATTATTGCAGAAATAGTTTTTACCTCAGCCCCAGAAAGCGCCTCAAGGATCACCCCCTACGGGTCTATGGAACACAGAGAACTGTGGCAACTTGCCATTTCTACCAGTTTAAGAGCACATGGGATATGTGCAGAGCAATAATACAGACCTATGCTTCAGACGTCAGGAGAGACTCAACATTTCCTTCCTTCCAGAAGTATTCTATAGCCACCTGTCAATCTTCCCTCAGATCCTCAACCCATCAAAACAGTAAGCAGCCAGAAGTGAAATTTCTTAAAAACCAAATAAAAATATCCTTTCAAAAGGTTAGCTATGTATTACTTTAAAAAGCCCAACTACAACTATTATGAACGCATGGGTTTATGTTCAACTTTTACTACTGTCAAACCTGTTTGACGTGACTCAAGTGCGCCCACGTCCAGGCTGGGGTGCAGCCGCATCATCAGGGCTCACTGCAGCCTCCGCCTCATAAGGTCAAATGATCCTTCTGCCTCAGCCTCCTGAGTAGCTGGTACACCACAGGTGTGAGCCACGGTGCCCAGCCCCCACCTAAAGATTTTTAGTTCCCAAAACTGGAGACTAATTTCTCAGTAACTAATCTCAAAGACACTTGAAAATTTGGCATATGACCATAGTTAAGTTTCTATTTTCATAACATGGCACCTCCAAGAAAGGAGCTCTGACTTCTAAGCAGAAAGATAACACACAAATGCACATTTCACCTCTCCTGGTGGCAAAACATTCTCTTTCTTCAAACCTCCCGATCCCGTGAAACAATATTCAAAACTAACAATTTTAATCTGCCTTTCAGAAATTATAATGCTACAATAAAGCCTCGCTATTCTAAACTTCACTATTTTTGTTAATTCTGACAGGGTAGGCCAAAGTTTACATTTTTTAATATTTTGCCTATTCAGGGTCTTCTAGCTCATCAATCCGTTTGTTGCACAGGTGAAAAGGAACTGAGAAGATGCTAGCTAAGAGTTCTTCACCACGAATGAAGAAAAGATCACTCATTCATCGCTCAACTTTCATGAACGGGATGCCACTAGGAGAACATGCCTAGAAACTTCAGATGACATCCCCAAATACGACCCGTTCTCCAGCCACCAGGAGCAGCTGTTTATGCAGCAGCCCCGCCCCCACCTAAAGATTTTTAGTTACAGAAACTGGAGACTAACTTCTCAGTAACTGATCTCCAGTCACCAGCGGCAGCTCGTAGCAGGAAGCACTCTGTCCCAAACAGGGACAGAGAGAAGGGGGCCCACAAGCAAACGAAGAAACCCACCTTTCATTTATTTTAGTATCTGCACAGAATCCGACTCAATTGCACAGATTACATTTAAATCCTTCAGATGGCAAATTCAAAGTTTTGCTGCTTACCAAGTAACACTGCCATCATTTTTAATTTTTTTTTGAGACGAAGTCCCACTCTGTCGCCAGGGTGGAGTGTATGATCTCGGCTCACTGCAACCTCTACCTCCTGGGCTCAATTTTCCTGCCTCAGTCTCCCAAGCAGCTGGGACTACAAGCATGTGCTACCACACCCAGATCATTTTTGTACTTTTAGTAGAGATGGAGTTTCACCCACCTTGGCCAGGATGACCTTGATCTCCTAATCTCGTGATCTGCCCGCCTTGGCCTCCCAAAATGCTGGGATCACAGGTGTGAAGCACCGTGCCTGGCCAACATGGTGAAACCCCATTTCTACTAAAAACACAAAAATTAGCCAGGTGTGGTGGCGGTGCCTGTAATCCCAGCTACTTGGGAGGCCGAGGCAAGAGACTCGCTTAAACCCATGAGGCTGAGGTTGCAGTACGCTGAGACTGTGCCACTGCACTCCAGCCTGGGCAACAAGAGCGGAAACCCTCTCTCTCCAAAACTAAATAAATAAATAA